ACCCATACGGAATATAATTATTGACATATTAAATTGAATATAAAATAAGTTTCATCAAATAAGCATCTCGGTGAAGGTCGTTCAAGGCGGGATCTTAGACTAAAAGATCTACCCAAAATCTGCCGTTACATTGTACTTAGGTGTTCTTCTATCTGTGCTTTGTAAATTAAAGACCGGTTTTAAGAAAAAAATACCCACATTACGGAAGATGTTTAACGTATCCCTTTACTTTTTCCAACCGCTAACTTGGTTCCAGGATCCTTGTTCTTGTAGGTTCATGTCCTTGGCATTTATCAAAATTAGCTCAGTGTAGTGTTGTTAATCAATCCATCAATGGACTTAGCAGACGCAGGTGAGGCTGAGGAAACTTATAGCAATATGTCGTGATGTCTGTTACGCTGCCACTCGAGTGAAAGTTGCTAAAACCTAGATTCTATTGGAGCCAGTAAGTCTAGGTTCAAATTACTACTACATGCATTACATATAAAAATTTTTGGTGACCAAAATAACTAAAAGAGTTTCTTCACAGTCTTCAAATATTTCTTGGATATGACCAGTCACCGATTGCCGATATTCTATGGACATCGAATACTCTGAATGAGCCAGGTCCAGAGTAACAGGGACTCCGAAGCTGCCTGCTCTGTTCAGAGAATCCGGTAATCATAAGACCACCTATAAAGGTTATGACGATGCTAATGCTGGTCGTCGGGGTGGTTTTAGGACTGTGCGAATCCCACACTTACCATAATTTTTCACCGAAACCAAGGCGCCTTTTGAAGGTTACCCTTAAAATAAAAAAGAGCTCAAAACCATTTCTATGCGTATTTTCTCAAAGTAAAACATCAACGTTTACTTGACTGATATAATCGTCACAATCACTGCTTTTTTGCCACAAGATTCATTAACAAATTCATTCAGAATTATACCTTATTTAAGTGAGATTTCGGTCTATTTTTTCTTTATTAATTAACGACCCATTGACCAAGATGTATTTTTCTACTTTATTTGGATAAATGCTCTGGGAAACAGCGACTGGTTTGATAAGTATTATCACATATATCCTCAGTTAGATGTTTTTAAACGACACATCGATTACGGTAACTGTACCGTTAATTAGTATTATCGCGAATGAATGACCGCAAGATCTCGGATTCAAATCTCTATTAAAGAAGGTTATAGGTTTTCCAATTGGAAAACTTTGCGTAATAGTAATCAGAAGTTGTATCTCTCCTGTGCAATAAAGTTCAAATCGATTCATTACATTTATTGTATACTTTGATTTGCCACTGAGCCAGTACCGTCTTTACCATAAGGGCACTCGGGGCCCGTGCCCAGGGCCTCCACCCTCAGGAGGATCCTATGACGGCCCTGCACTCAGCCCTTGAACCGTGTTTTGTCAGTATACATAAGACTGATTTAGTCCTTCTGAAAACCCGTTTATCAGTATTCAAGACACACGTTTGGAAATTGTGACAACAATAAGGACTTTACAAAGTTAATAATTAATTGACTTGTAAAGTACTAACTTGTTCAGTGCTTATCTCAAGTTGTCCCTTACAGAGATAGCGACCACTGAAATACAGTTGAAAGTCGATAAGAAGTTGTTCATACACTTTCCAACTGCTTTTAATGTCCATTAGTTGGTTGTCAAATCAAGACTAGTTATCTTAGAAGATAAATAAGAGATACTTATACCCACAGTTAGTCCTATACCGATGTGAAAAGTCTATAAACAAACCATAAAGGTATCCCCGAAGGCGTAGGCAGAGGTGCACATTACGGCACTTAATGCCACTGTACAATGTACATAATACCCACTTTTCACTCTTTATGTCATGAGTCCCATGTAATAGGGGGTGAGCCTATTGCCGTATACCGGGCACAATTCAAGACTGGACTCACGTAGCTGTTTGACGAGGTAGTCCAGACGGAATAAGCCGAAAACTATAATAAATAATTTGGTGTGTCTTAGAAAATTTATAATAACAAACATAAATTTTCTTATTTTCTAATCGTTCTACGTAACACCCCTTTTATAGGACAGGGTTTTAGTGACACACTATGATTATATTTATGTATGTCATACATTTATCACCATTGACACTATTGCATACATTCAAATAATCTTGTTTAAGGTCAGCTAAACATAATTTAATATGGAAAATTAATCCGTACAGCTATACAACTTTTACTTATCGAGCTGAATTTTCCTTAAATTCTTGAATTCTTACTTGAAGTTGGAAGGGAAAAGAGGTAAGTTGAGGAAAAGGTTGCCGTGGGTTTTCTTAATAAATGCTTACAATAAAGCAATAAAGTATGAAGTCATAACAGTAATTTAAGTCGTTATAAATGAACTAATAAGGATACAGTTAC